TCTATGAGAAGTAAACTTGGGCCACTAGACTTGAGGGCCCTATTAAACCCCCCTGACCAGTTATTAAACACCACACTACCCCCACACACACCTCCAGACAGCCGTTGGAGAATCCACTCTGAGCTAGTCAGGCTTGATTGGATCCAGCCAGCATCCAACTGAGCTTATTTATTTACCAACCCACATTCCTGGGGGTGAATGGAAGTCCCAGGGTACCCAGGCTTGGTCACACATTGGCACACACTTGAGGTCAGCTCTACTTGTGGTATCAATTAGGACTTGAGATCAACGACAACAACAAAAAAAACACAAATTCCTGTGTGACCTCGAGGGTGTCACTTGGCCATCCTGTGTCATGACACTGCTTCCTGTGCTGCCTGAGTGCTGAGTGCTCCATGGATTGTAGAGGTCCTGTGAGCCTACTTGAGAGGAGAGGTCTGCTGGAATCAGGTTGCCACAATGCTCAGGAGCTGATGCTCTACACCTTCCACAGGGCGCCTGCTCTGGCGGGCAATGAGCCTGTCCGGGGTGCACCACCCAGTGGGCCTGACCCCCAAGCCTGTGTGGCTGAAAAGGGCAGTGTCTCCCAAACCACCAGCTGAGACCAAGCCTCTATCCTGGAGGGAACCCCAGGAAACATGAAAGCATTCCCTGGACAGCACTGCCCTTAAGGGTCACTTGGGCAATCTCAGCCCAATTCTTGACTCAGACTCTTGGGCATTTTATTTTCTCTGTTTCATGTAAGAGCTCTTGTGACTAATGGCAACCCTGTGTCCATAGAACTAGGGGAATTTTCAGGGGTGGGGGGAATCTAGAGGATGGTGGGTGGGTAGCCTACAAGGGTCCAGAGTTTGGCCCTCCGGTGCTTGCCCTGGGTCAAGAGTCAAGCAGGAAGCTCTTAAGGGCATTGCCCAAGAATGGAGGTGGCCTGAGAGGCCCGAGGTGGAGCTGGAAGGGAGTTACTCTGGCTGCCCCGTCCCTGCCTCAGTTTCCTTCCCAGAACTGAACGAGGTGGGACTAGATGTGAAAATTCAAAAGCCCACTGGGACTCAAGAGTCCCAGCCCACAGGAGTTAGGTCAGAGGGTAAAGGGAGCAGAATCAGGCCGGAGACCAGAGTCAGAGGGGGCCTGCGGGGAGGGAGGCAGGAGTGTCACTGCTGAGAAGAGGTGGGATCAAACACCTGGAGGGCACTCCAGCGCAAAGGCAAACACTGAGATCAATGCTGCTCCACAGAGCCCGGACCCACACCCCCGCCCCCAGCTATAAGGGCCCCCACCCCAAGCAGGTGTCCAGGCTGTGAAGGGATCATGGCCAAGTCACACCTGCTGCCATGGCTGCTGCTGCTGCCCACACTCTGCGGCCCAGGCACTGGTGAGTCTCCCCAGCTCTCCTCGCTTCTCTCCCACCTGGGGCCAGGTGTGGCGGGGACATAGGGCCATCCCCATCGCTCACTGAGCACTGCTTTGTCCAGGCAGAATCTCTAATCTGTACATGATCCTCACCGTAGAGACAAGGAGGTTGGAAAGATGGGAAGATGACCCAGGGCTATCTCACTCCGGTGTATTTACCTGCTCCCAGTAAAACTGGGCTTGGAGGGTGGGTGAAGTCAAGGTGTAAAGAGTGGTTTAGATCCTGAGGTTGTTCTGGCCCCAAATAGCAGCTGTCCGGACTGCCTCATCCCTGGCCTGTACCCAGGGCCCCAAATTCTGGTGCCAAAGCCTGGAGCAAGCACTGCAGTGCAGAACCCTGGGGTACTGCCTACAGGAAGTCTGGGGAAATGCAGAAGCCGTGAGTACTGCCCGGGAATAGATGGGGACCAGGGGGTGGGCAGAGAAGGTGGAGGGTAGACCTGAGAGGTTGGAGCCCCCATAGGGGACAGGGTGGGACGGGGTGGGACGGGATGGGACAGGACAGGACAGGTTGGGACAAGACGGGACAGGTTGGGACAGGACGGGACAGGACAGGATGGGACAGAACAGGACAGGACGGGACAGGACGGGACGGGATGGGACGGGACGGGACAGGATGGGACGGGATGGGACAGGGTAGGATGGGACAGGACGGGACAGGACGGGACGGGACAGGACGGGACGGGACGGGACGGGACAGGATGGGACGGGATGGGACAGGGTAGGATGGGACAGGACGGGACAGGACGGGACAGGACAGGACGGGACAGGACGGGACGGGACAGGATGGGACAGAACGGGACAGGACGGGACAGGACAGGACGGGACAGGACGGGACAGAACAGGACGGGATGGGACAGGATGGGACAGGATGGGACAGGACAGGATGGGACAGAACGGGACAGGACGGGACATGATGGGACGGGACAGGACGGGACAGGACGGGATGGGACGGGATGGGACGGAACAGGACAGGACGGGACGGGACAG